AAACAATCCCTGGTACTATTGATTATAATAATAATAATAATTATAATAATTATAATAATAATGAGTTTCCATTAAACCAATCTCGTTCTCTTGATAAAAGTAGGTTAATTCCCATATGGGAGCTGAAGTATTCCATGATTTTCGGCAAACACAAAACCTGAAACTCAAGTTAACTTAATGTGAACATAATGCAATTATAATAATTATGCATTATGTACGATAAACCTACCATCCTTCACTTCGCGGTATGGATAGAGCGTTAAATGTTTCTAAACCACGTTCTGTGTTAAATAAAATCTGGCAAAGAAAATAAATGCATGAGAAGATTGCGTGCTTTAACGCACGCTTTCTATGTATGTTAACTGTAACATTTCAAAGCTAGTTTTGATTCTTATCCTACCAACGCGAGTATCTGTAGCAACAACCATATCAAAGCACAACCCATATTCCCCTGAATTTTGTAAAAACTGACATGCATCTGAACATTTCGTTTCATGTCGTAATGAGTAACATCCATTCGCTTCTATTGCTTTCAAGTCATTGACTTAACTTTACCGATATTGTGGGAACTTTCAATTTCTTCTGTGTCGTTTTTCTGTCATGAATAAATATATGAACACATTTAAGAGGGTGATAGAATCTTGTTGTTCCTAGTGCTTTCATAATTAACATAATCAGAAGCATCATCAATTACTTCAGAATATAGTTAATGATTAGAAGAATGGTTCTATCAGTCAAGAAACACTATCCTATCGAAAGAAAAAGGATGGGTCAATTCAGTATGCTTCAAAAGTGAGCAATCATCTAGAAAATAAAATTATACATAAAATGAAAAATGTATAGAATCAACTACGGGTTATCAATAACAGGAGTTTCATACACATAGTTCCCTTTATTATCTTGAAGAGAGCAAAAACAAAGATAATACGAACTCATTTTTTCACCGGATTCTCATCAGCTGCTTTCAACCTATAATACTTTAAAGTCAAAATCATTATAGATAATGTCACTTATAAATACTAAGGTGATTAAAGGTAAACATCATAGAACAAACAAACATTAGATGATTGTGTAATGAAGTAACTGAAAGCAAACTAATGGTGATGAAGAAAGACATGAGTCGAAGTCAGCCAATACGGATGAAAATTACGAATTAGAGAAAACGACAGTGATGTAATCAAAACTTGAGAAAGAGTTGAATCAATGAATTATGCAATATAAATCATGTAATGTTACCAGGATAAAGGAAGATTTATTAGTTTCTTTTCGAACTCACAGGTCTGATTTTAGACGTTTGCCCGCCATAGCTTTGGCGAATCTCAGACGTTTTGAATTTGATACATGAAAGTAAACTTCTAACGTCATAAAACTTTACCTTTTCTATATGGGGCATAATCCATTTATCTTTAATACTAGGTCATAATTTAAAATATCTACATAAAAGTTCAACAGAAATATTGCGTATATGTAACGGGAACATTATCTCTTTAGTAAGATGTGACTTCGCAACGCCAATTACTGGCTCATCAGCACCGATGGGCGAAACAATAGTGCTAAAACTAGCTTTCTCATTAAACAACTCGATTACACTACATTCTTGCCTTTTACTCGATGTTGACCTAATGTTAAAAAATTAATCAAAGGTTATCTACTAAAACAGTCTATAAGAGCTCCATATTCAGGAGACAAAGGTACATGTAATTCGATGAGACTTTATCAATGAATATCAGTTTGATCTGTTTCTATTTCTGAGTCGAATTCAGTTGAAGGTTTAAAATACAATTGTAATGTGTACTACGTATGCGGACAGACATAGGCAGTATATAGCAGGAATTGGAAGTAGAATACTCACCAGCAGGAAAGTATAGTAAGGAGAATAAACAGAAAAACGAAGAGCAATCAGAATAAAAACAGGATTTAGAGAATGATAGTGTAAAGACAACTGAAGGAAAATATGTAAATGATGTATTTGATAAATAATTTAAGCATTTTACCAACTCCCTGTGTAATTTTACATAAGACGATATATTAGTTATCCGTACCCGAGTTGTCGATCGTTACACTATCATCAGATAATTAAAAATTTAGTTTAACATCATGGGCATTATTGGCATTTTCTAATTTAAATAGTTCTTTATCAACAACACGGTTTAAGCTAGATTTGCTTTCGGACAAAGATTATACTTTAAGTACTTCAACTATTATTCGTTAAAAATCTAACTTAGCTTCCTATTTTCCTTTGAAATAATCTTAGTTGGACTTTTGAAACTGTTTACAACAGATGAATCAATAACTAATAGATTATCTCTATCACTAGGCTTTTTCTGTTTAGAAATAATTATACCTTGTATAAAATTTTTTAGAGTACATGTCTAGTTTACCGTAATCTGTGGTACGGTTAGTTATGACTGAAAATTTATTTGCTTGCGGGTTAACAGAGACTTTGTCACCTATTCACTAAAATGCTTGCAAGTGTACAATACATACTGATTATTGATAAGTAATATAATTTAATTTACACAAAAAATCAGGTACAAGTGGAGGCCATGATTCAATTAGCCTTAATTTAGACTAATCCCATTTATAACTCATTAGAATATAATGAGAAAAGCAAGATTAACTAAAAAGATATGATGTATTTGCCAAATAAAATTCAAACAAGTAATCAGATATGATTTCTTCAACGTACTATCTTTTAAGCCAATCAAATGAAACAAAAGAAAGTAAAAGAATGGATGATAAGCATTTTCAGAGTGACAATGAGTTATGTTATTTGATTTTTAAATTATGATGACTTCTTAAATAAAAAAAGGAAGAGAATAGTTGCAAGAAGTGAACTTTAGACTAGTTTTATAAGTTGTTGACAAACAGTTTAAAATGTATTGGGAAATTTCCTGATTTGATGTGACTCCAAAATGGTGTCATTCAGTAGTACTTAGCAACACTCAATAACCCAGATACTACTAGTATATCTACAGTCTGTTAATATAAAATAAGTACACGAAGGTTCATTGGACAGTATATTTTACATAACTGACAAAACTGGTAAGAATAACTACATTGTCAAAACAGTGTATCACTAACAGCAAGAAGGAAGTGCATTATCATTCAACTACAAAAAGTACACATTCTTCATGATACCAAGTATTCAAACACCTGTAGAACAATGCTCCTACATATACCCGTACAACGTTGTACTTCTCCATTTTTCTAATATCATCGGGGCAAAGTTGTTTTGGAGATTTGATGACGCCTGTTAGTTTGCTTCGATTCAGAGTAATTTGTAGTGCACCTATGAATAACTAACCTATGTAGTACGCAAAAATAAAGCAGTTTGCAGAAAGATTTAAAACAGATTATTTATCCAATCAACGATAAACTCTCTTATCCTATGTTTTCCAGCTCCAACTGAAACCTTGCTAACAATATCAACCATAGTTCCAAATCAAGTCATAACAGTGTTTGGTATCCAGGTTATTTTCGCTATTCTCCCATATGATAAAGATTTAAGCATCGCTGTTATGGATAAAACCGATCACAAAGAGAATGTTTTATCCGTTCACGCTGTTGAAAGTAAACTAAAATGATAGTAGAAAACTCGAAAAGAGAATAACCTTCATTCTCCAACAATTTTTTAAAATGAACGGTACTGAGAAATAGGAGTCTAACACTTGGACGAACATTGATTCTAAACTTCATATATAATACACGTAATATTGAAAATCCATAGACCCAATATCACCCATTAAGACAAGTAATATCTGTGTGCTGTTCACATACATATAAACCAGTAAAATGAGTAACAAGGTATCTAAATTCATATAAAACAAAACATGACCAAAAATGTTTATTTTAACTTTGATCCCGCTCTGGTAGTTGTTTGTTTATTTTCCATTCTATAGGTGATTCAAGAACTTCTCATTTCCTCCATATTGTGCCACTGTCTTCTAAAGTTTTCATTTATTATTTTTTATCATTCATTCAAATATTTATTTAGCTAACTCCATTTAGTTTTCATTTAAAGTCAATTGACATATGAGTATGCAATTATATTGTTCAAAATAGATCATACAAATACACGAAATCTACGAGACTACGATATATGGAAGAACCAGATTTAAAATAACACGTTCTGGATTTTGGCGTGAAATTCACTCATCCAAAATGGCTAAATAACTCCTCATGGAGTCCCTCTGGGGGCTGCTGCCGGTCCCAAGCCCGGATAAAGGAGAAGGGTTGGGCATGGGGTTAGCGACCCCATCCCGTAAAAAACTAACTCTAAAAAAACGCTAAAATGGCTAAATAGCATTTTCGGATTTCAGCCGATGTCAATTCGTGATGAAAACCCTAACTTTTATTAATAATCCTAAAATCCGACTGTAAATCCTCATCCTAACTCCTCAAACTAATTTATAACATCCATTTAACCATAGTGAGTTTACACTCTCAAGGTCACTTAAGCATCGCTCAAAGGTCGTCCATAAACTATAGACTCACCACCAAATCTTGCAGATTAACTCTACCTCGTTACATTTTCTTGAATTATTTAGTAATCGTTCCTCAGAGTTATGCCAATATTCAAATACTGCATTCGAAGTCTTAGCCTCTTGTTTACAAACTTCTTAAACCAATGAAAATACGATCATGACTAATGTTCATCAAAATTTAGGTTAAGCGAAATAACGTTTTCTATATTCGGTGTAAATTTCTTGTCAATGTCAAATATTTAAAACAAACTGTCACCAAGTAATCTTCCATGAAACACCTTTTGGCTATGAACGAATGAGAGCTTAACATTATGTGACTCCACATATTCTTGTTTTCTTAAAAACACGATCTACTGCGGCTTTAGAATATCATGTCAGACGCTTGACGTTCTTTGAAAACTGAACGGTGAGCATGAAAACTGTGATCACTTTACTTAACCAATATTGTTGACAATAAAATACAGATGAGTCAAATTAGCCATTGAGTTATAACGCAAACTAACCATCTTTAATTCCCAGTTCTAGCTAGATTAGATTCCTTTACTTATTTTCTTTCGCTACTAAAAAGATATATTAATAAACACATACGTCCGGCTGTTGCTCAAAACAAGTCATTTTTATCGAAAATCAGGCCTATATTTTTGTCACCGAGGTAGATCACTATCAGTGGATTGGATATTATACATATATAGCACTTCCACATAACACAATAATTGAAACACTCACTAACCAAAAAGATGCAGTTGAAATGAGGGCTTCTAGGAATGATTTGAACAATGGAAAGCAAGATGTGACACAAGTATTATGATAAACAAGAATATATTGAAGGAGATAAGATTAAAGTTATAGGATGCCTAGTTCAAATCACATTAGTGTAATAAAGAATACTGAGTATGATTCTCTGCTTAACAATTACTGTAACGACCTAGTACTTAAAAGAAATGAAAATTGCACACAAATTGCTATTTTTTAGTTAATAATGAATTCACATTTCGATTTCAACTAATATTTGCTACTGTTCCAACGAATCTGTTTAAAATACTGCATGAACAAAAATGAAACAATATCTAGGAATTTTTATATTTCGATGAAAGAAGTAGGTAGATTTCAAAATTCGAAAGCCGAATTCAGTTTTTTCATATTAAAATATTATACTTCTGTGTAGATTAAACGGTAATGAATATTTTACAGCAACGCGATAATATATGGTCGAGCTAAGTCAACTGAAGAAATAAGGTTTAGAATAACGGTTCTAACTATTTAGTGTTTTTGATGTCTCCAGTTCTTTCATAACATATAGCACACGCTCTTCTTGCCATGGTTTACCAATAATTTGTACACCAACCGGTAAGCCTTCACTTGTTTCCTGATACTTGAATACCTCAGAAAGAAATCGATTGCCAACTTTCTTGTATTCTTCAGCCATCACTTTTGAGTTTTGTACATCTTCCTTACTCACATATCCCATTGGAACTGTTCCAGCTGGATAATCTAACAAGTTAAACAATACTGTATAAGCAATAGCTGGCGTAACAAACATCGATTTAGCCGACTTTGGAAATGCTGGGAAGGGGAAAACTGGACAAATGATTGCATCCAAATTACCAGCTTCTTCCATAGCTCTTTGAAATTCATGTCTATACAACTCAATATCTGAGATTAAATTTAGTGTTTTTGCTTCGCCCCTAGGACCGTCCAAGAAACTTGTAACTGCAGCTGGTCTACCAAAGATAATATTCAATAATTTATCTAACATAACTTTCAGCCAGTGTGGGACACTAATTAAAAGGTGGAGAAATTTGGTGTGTTCATTTAGTGGTTCTGCAAACAAAGCCTCTTGAAGATTATATTTTGTGTCAACAGAAATCGCCTTCATACTTAATTCATAAGCCCATTTTATGTCAGGTGGATGAAACGGTAACAATATATGACCGCGTTGTCTTAGAATGTCCACTGATTCATTCACTATTCTGCGAACACTTGGAACGCTAGTAATAATTAGTGGATCCTCTAGAGTCGCATAATATCCGATTGTCAATTTCGGCTTATCTGTACCCGCGTAGATCATATCATTAAACAGTAATGGTGGCACATATGGATCCATTTGAAACATTTTCATTGTTAAAAGTGTACGCATTAATTTAGCTAGATCATCCACTCGTCTACCCATTGGTCCAACACTTACTCTCAATAATACTGACTTTTTATGACCGATTACACCCACACCTTTACTACTAATACGATTAGTTGTTGGTTTTAAGCCAGCAAGACCGCAGAACACCGAAGGAATTCGTATACTTCCAGCCAAATCTGTTCCGATTCCAACTGGAGATCCCCGTAAACTTAGAAGTACACCTTCACCGCTAGAACTCCCGCCTGTTTCATGTTCTGATGAATGAGGATTAGACATATCACCAAATACTGGATTTATTCCACTCAGAGATAGAGCTGTTTGAGAAGTTGCTGTAAGAACAAAAGGTATTGCTCCTTCATGTCTAAGTACTTCCAATATGCAACAATCTTCATGTGAAGGTTTATTACATCGTTCTATCAAACCAAATGTTACATCATATCCCTTGATCGAACATAATTCTTTTAAACTGATAGGAATACCAACCAACGTTTGTTTACTTTTAGGTAAGCGATTAAATTTAGCAACGTCAACAGCCAACTGCTCCGCTTCATCAAGAAATTCACATATTCCTGAATTTCCTGAGTCATATAATTGTAAAGCTTTAATTTGATAGGCATGTAATAAGTCAACTGATGTAAATTTGCCTTCAACTAAACGTTCTTGGATAGTATCTAAATTCAGATCTGTAACTGATAGTAAATCAATATTTGATGAGCTTTTCGTGGATGAAAGATGTTCTTTCAGATGATCCATTCCTTGAGTTATTGATTGTCTTTTACGTAATAATTTAATGTGCAATTTAGACTTTTTCTTGAAATATTTCACAACATAACCAAGAATAAATACGATGAAAATCGGTAATAAAATTAGACGAATTGCATATTTTACTATCCATGCCAATAAAGTCGGAAGTAAATACCAACAGAATAGTAAACCTTGTTCCATATTTCGATTTCTAAAATATACAGAGTTTATACCATTATGAAATATTAAATTCACATCAGTTAGGGTTCATATATAAATAAATGATTATTAACTCATCGTATATAATATTGCAGTTCAGTTATGTGAGCTATCAGTTTCATTTCTACAAGTACAGTTGTCTAGCACGTGACCTTGAGAGTTATTCTACGATTCAAACTTACGTATTATCATCATCTTATATATTTATATAATCAGCTTACCTATATATCTGATATTGGTAGATATGAAAAACAGATTAATAGATATACACTAAAAAAGAAAAGAACATTCTCGTAGTTATGCTTAAAGTTTCTAATATAAAACTACTTCAAACAATTCGATACATTTATCATTGACGCAGTTCAGCTTCCAATTTATCGTCATTTTAAAGTAAACACTTAGAATGAAGATCAGAGGCCTAGTGACTAAATTATTCTGCTTTCAGTATGTGTTTCACAGATTTCAACTCCTTTCTTTATTCCAATTTAGGTGGCTAGTTAATATACAAGCCCCCACATGAAATACAGTTGAAAGTCGAATACAGAAAATTAAACTAGACTAGGAGTTATGAATTTTAGATTACTGGAAAATTATGCGAAAAGTATTAAAACACAGTACCATAAAATTCAGTAGTTGCAAATACAAAGTAGTAAACAGTAGGATTAAATTACACGATGAAGTTATAATAAACCACCGAATAATGAATAGCTTTATTGAAATTTACAAAAGAGGATTTACATTTTAAACCATATATATATAATGAAGTTATATGATTTGATAGGAATTATGTTAAATATATTGTTCAATGTGTTTGCTCTTAAGGAGACCTGGATAGGAAACCGTGATTTATTTGGTGTCAGATTAAATGACTGGAACTATAAGTAAATGAATAGTAAGAAAAAGTTTAACTGGATATTTGTAACTACTAGGTTTCAAGGAAACATTATATAAGTAGGCAATTTTTACAAGTTTTGCTGCGTTTCTGAAGGCTTTCACATTCCAAAAGCGAGAAAAACTTAAACGGCACAAAATAATAAAATACCTTATCAACTTTTAGTGTCTAGTACCATGTCAAATCAACATGAGTTATTCTAGCTTCCAGATAGATCAGTTAACCCATTATACTCATGCTACATTCTGACCTTGTCACTTATTCACTTATTAACCCTGACTTTTTATATGAGCATGTGTGTTAATCCCTTACCCTACTCACCACATTTCTGCATTCTATTTTTTGTCTGACTATAAGTGTCAAGTCAGGCTTGGTTAAATCGAGTTGCTTTCTCCAACCCGTTTCGCCTCGCTCTTTTCTTCGCTTCGTTTCTCTGATCATCTGTCTCGATCAACGATTATATGAAATATACGTATTCGTAATACATTTTCGTATTTCACTTATTTGATTCCGTTATTCACTAACGCGATTTAAGTCGATAATTTTATACGAGGATTGGAGTCATGTGTATTTCACTAACGACCATAATACTATTTAAAAGGAGTCAGATGGTGAGACAGTCGATAGCATCATCTTCCGATTTAATTTGGCATTAAAACGAAGAGCCACACCAAAAACTAACTTTCTGAGTTGGTTTTCTAATTTATAGGACAAAAAAAGATGTGTAATAAATAGGGATTAAAAGACCTTACGGGGATCTGGAGTTTAGAAATAATAAACTCGGAAAAAAACTGTAGAGTTGATTGAAAGGGCAACTAACTGCAACTTGTGTTTGGTTAATTCAGTCATCTTAAAGCAAAATTCAATTAGATCAAGTCATTTGTGTTTATACAGACAAAATCGGTCATTATTTACAAAATTGAATGTCATTATTGATAGATAACTAACTCAAAATCATAAGATGTTCAATTATATATGGATATGATTACATGTCTATGGACATTCTGTGTTTAACTTTTAATTATGGTAACTTTCTATATTTTCTATACGAATGTGCTATTTAAGAAGTAAGAATAAGTTTCTGATAGCTGGTTATTTTCTTTTAAATATCTATTCATTCGACAGTCCTTTGTCGGTTATTTTCTTTTTATGCATAACCATTACTCTATTATAAATACTCAATCAGATAATCGGTTAGATAACCATATATCTAATATTTATCCACTATAACAGTTGAGTGTACATTGTGATCGTGTAATTACCATCGATTTATAACAGTTAACAAAGACAAGTTCTAATTAAGACATAATATTACCTAGTATAAGCTGTACAAATGTGAGGCGAAAAGTGATCCTTCGTCCAAGACTTTCATGCACCTCTCTTATGATAACAAACTAGTAAAATAATGAGCACAATGACTAATACAATAATCCTGGCATCCTACAACAGCCTGCTATAAATACACGTACAAATTTAATCACTCCACTGCATCGTAAACATAAGCAAAAAACATGATTTAGATATCATTACCTAGCACCGATCGACATCACAATGGAATACTTAGATCACGTATATATATTTTCTATTCGATCTGGTTTGTTCAGTTTTTCTGTTCAGGCGTATATTTATTGGAAGAAAGTTATTTATTCTCTGACGAAACCCCTGTGCTAAGTCACAAATTGTATTTAGAAGAATGAGTTAAGACATTATGTTATTTTTAGTATAAGCTTCTCATTATGGATTTGTCAGGATCAAAATATTTGACTTGAATTTTTTATTTTTGAAAGAATTGCCAACTGGGACCAGAATACTTTTATAATTTTTCTTTAGAATAAATTTGGCTAGGTTTAGTAAATAACGTGATGCATACTGAATTGAAGACCCCGATTCTACACATACGAAAATAAATTGTACATATCTGTATGATGATGGGTTTTTCGATTGATTTAAAGCCTAGTTAGAGTATCTCTTCCATAATAACACTATTGCTTATCATCCTTCACTCAGTTAACATTTTTTGCTACTATTAACTTCGTATTGTTGCACATATACATAAATTCAAATTGAGTATTTCTGGGTTATTGTAGATTTTATTATTGTTTGAACTGAAGAACTTCGTACTATGCTGACATGGAAGCTTCGAACCATCACAGTTTAATATGAACAGTTGAAACATTTGACTACGTACTCTGTCAGTATAAATATCAATACACACCATTTAGAATTATAATGCATTTAATAGTACTGATATTCAGTTGACACGATTTTCAATCACTTATATTATTCTCAGAGTTACATTCCTTGATTTATCGGGTGCACTCACAACTGAAAACTGAGACGATACAAATTTTATTAGCTAGTGACTAGTTGATTTGCATAATTTAGCTTCAATAGAAATCGTCGCGTGATGAACTGATAAATAACATCCCAGACTGATACCACTGTATCAAATGGTTTTAATATACTTTAATCAATATTGAGACCTATACAGCATAAAAATGGTTACTATACAATGATGCAACAGAAAATAAAGCTCTTTCTTAGTATACGGCAAAATCTTTACTATCCGCGAGAAATTCGCTTGGATTAATTAGCCTTATTTTTTAACACATAACGGTTAAATAAGTTATATGGGGTATTTCCATAACTAAGAAACCCTACCAGTTCAAATCTAAGCAATCTTTAAAATACTTACTTATGAAGATATTTCTGTAACAAAGAGTTGATAGATTACCTTGAAAGATGTTACAAATTACTTCCAATTGTTGATTTCTATATTTGAACACTACTGATTTCCAACTTATTTTTTTTTCTTTCTATGGTGAAATCCAGAACTTTTATTGGTTATTTATGAAATCAAATCAGTGACAAGATTTTACATCAAGGTTACAGAAAATGTCCAATCAAACGTGAGACAGAAATATATATGGAATAAAGTCGTAATGATTTTGAAAAACATAGAGGATATGGCATTGATTATAATTTATTATCACAACCCAATTAGAAAATCATTTTGACCTTGAATGGCTTTTCTCAAGTGACGTCACTGACAGCCAATCATTGATCAGTGTTATATTGACTTGGAAATTTGACCTATTTCGATCATTGTGTATAAACAAAAACCATTTGAAGATGAAGTGATGTTACTGATTCTGAAATGCGTTAGTTACTAAAAAAAGTCATACGACATCAATGTTATAAAGTTATCTAAAACTAATTATCCTATAGTGTTAACCCTATGAAAATGAGACTGAATGGGTATCCTTATTTTCTGATAATTACAAAGACATTTAATATATCAAATATGCAATGTTTGTAAATTTAGTATCATGTTCTTTCCAAGTGTTACATAGATTTCATATTTTATAAACACAACAGTGATTGCATAACGATTTATATAAAGTTTATTTGCTTATAACATTCTGTAAATTACCTATTTTTCATAATCAGATAAGTAAATATAATCATAATTCAGATAATGAAGTAATAATAATCTTTGATTTCAATATTGAACAATACTTACTTAATATTCGATAAAATATACGATCTTAGGATGCTACAATTTTCTATGGAAAGGTTTTAACGAACATCAAATTTAAACACAATCACCCATTCACTTTACAATTACATAATCTATTGTACGTTTATAAATGAAAAATATATTTGTAATATCCCAATGAGTAGGAAAATTACATTTTCTGACGTTTTGTGACTTAGTGTAAGCCTCTTCTTCAGAGAATAAATAACCAGATCGGTTACGAAATGTCAGAGAATCTAATTTTTCCACTCAATGGGATATTACAAATAATTATTCATTTATAACAATCTACCCAATGCTCAATTTATTCGAAATTATCAAATCAAACCATGGTAATGATTGTAGGTTTAAATTGTACTCAAAATATTTTATCCTTTGTAATTAAAAACTAAACAATCCACATCTGAAAGATAAGAACTTCCCTAAAGCAAAAGTTATATTCACTTATATACGTTGTTCAGTTAGTTTATTCTCGTACTTTACTTACTTTGTAAATGTATATTAACTATAATGTAGATTGTGTGACTTATATAAAAATAAATTTTATAATAACAAATGTGGTATTTTTAGTGGGGCCCGTAATTTTGTCCTCTTTAGATCGGACGATGTTTGTTGATGGGCTCTCCACTGCAGTGTCCCGAGAACTGACACCAAGGGGATTGTAATGATGATTGTTGTTGAAATATATATGTTGCCTATCCTCGTACATAATCATTGACTTAAATCGCGTTAGTCAATAAAGGAATTAAATAAGTCGAATAACGAGAATGGACTTTCGAATACATATATTTTGTATATGAAGCGGATGGAATAGAGAGAAGAGAAACGACGCGCAGTGGAGATGGCTGGTAAGCCAACTCCCATTTAACCAAGCGTTAATCAATATTTATTGTTACACAAAAGAAGTTACAGACATGTGATAAGTAATGGGATAAGAAATGTACACACACCTACGCGCTCATATAACAACAGTCAAGATTGATAAGCGAATAAATAACAAGGTCAGAATATGACTCAAGTAGAATGAATATAATGGGCTGTCCGAAAGCTAGAATAAGGTATATGGGCTTAACATAATAACCGACACTACATATTAACCGAGGTAGTGTTTAAAAAAAATAAAAACAACATGATAAAGGAACAAGTAATCCATCATTTCTCATATAAGTCAAAGCTCAAATAAAATCATGGTAAAAACAAATATAAATCTATGTGAGTTATAAAATATTAAAAGATTAAAGTATATGAAAATTCAAAGTTCAAATACTAAAATAATAAAAGAAGACATAATTTGAGGTGAAGGAAAATAATAATAAAAATCTTCATCAACCATTAGACTATGAAAGATATCATAAACTTGTTTTGAACATTAAAGTGGAATCTGTTATCCCAAAATCTTATACCTTATGATGTGTATAAAATAAAAGTTCAAATATGATATGTGGACAAGAATGATAATCATTGGTTGTTTGCTTAGTCAGATGTGGAGATAGTCTGACAAGTGTTAAATGGATTGGTTGAAGTTAGACATTAACACCGTTGGATGCCGGCTCAGTGGTCTAGTTGGTTAAGTTCCTGGCGCGAAACTTATAGGTTCTGGGTTCGAGTCTCGTGGGGTGCGGGATCGTGGTTGCGCACTGCTGAGGAGTCCCATTCCAGGACGAAATGGCCGTCCAGTGCTTCCAGGTTTTCCGTGGTGGTCTAGCTTCAATTGACTCATGATTTCAATCTGCGAAGTGTTAGATGAGTTATATATTCTCCTGTCCTTAATATTACTATTGACTGAATCTTAATCACTGTTGGATTATTGTCGGTTTTTGGTGTGAAAATATATTTACATCCTAATCAGGTTAACCATATGTTCTTGATCTGAGTTGTGTTGAAATTCTGTAGAATAGACACTGGGAAGGAATTTTATGTAGTTATTCATCTAAGGTAAATTAACGTCCCATTTGTGTAAAAAAGGAACCCAAGTGTTATAATAAAACCATGCTAATATATCAAGAAATTAATCTTGACAACTGATATTTTCATCCTTAAATTAGTAATATTTTTTTCTATTTATTATAAAGTTTTATGCACAACAAAATTTAATCGATTAGTTAACAATGTTAACAATAATATTGTTTGTTATTGTTATTATTAAGATCATAAGCGTATCTAACTCATGGTATTTAAGACGATGTAAAATCAATTTTCTAAGAAATGTAAACTTTATCACGTTTTAATCAGACTTATATTAAACGCATTCAATGGTTGTCATTCTATAATACTAAACATAGATGATTTGAAAAAAGAGAAGAAAAAACAAGATAATTAAATTGTCATATGTGTCTTGAATTAAAAACATGATTAACGTGTTTAGTTTTAATATAATCATAGTTCTATCACAACTTCTTCATACATGAAGATGTTTTCGACCAAAATTATTTGGATTGATTGAACTAGATTAAATTTAATAAAATCATAAGAAAAATTTGGGATATACTTTGGAATATACATATGCTCAAGAGGTAATTCCTGGAGTTCTAGTGAGAAGTAGAGACCAGTGGAGTTCAACTAGGTCTGTTGTGAGATAGTAACTCCCTGAAGACAATGGTGGATGTGTCGCTCAATTTCGTGGGCTAGTTGAAGTTAGACATTAACACCATTGTATGCCGACTCAGTGGTTTAGTAGTTAAGTGATCGCGCGCGAAACTAGAAGGTCCTGGATCCGAATCTCGCGGGGGCGAGGTCGTGGATGTGCACTGCTGAGGAGTCCCACAACAGGACGAAACGGCCGTCCAGTGCTTCCAGGTTTCCCATGGTGGTCTAGCTTCAACTGACTCATGATCTCAACCATTGAAATATACTTTTATAATTATTTTATTATTCAAATTAGTGGAGAAAATCATTCTAGTACGATTATTTCTTAGGATTTATTGTTATTAATCATTTACATCTACGAATAGTTTCATAGAACAATCTTATTTATATTTCTTATGATTTAATTCAATAATGAAAGCAATATTTTATAAGTTTATATAAGTAATTGATTTTGTTTAGAGAATGAGAATTTTTGGGTATTTACTTAACTAAACATTAATACTACCATAAACTATCAGTTTATTTAGGGTATATAAATCAGCTATGTCCTGAGTTGTTGGATTTCGATACGAATACGTAAGCTTTCAATATAAAAGTCTAATCGGCTACTTGAATGTCAAGACCTAAGATGAAGAGGAATCTTTATTGGCTAAAGCGAACCGAGAGATACATTTACACTCATATATATATATATATATATATATATATATATATATATATATATATATATATATATATATATATATATATATATATATACATATATACTTGCCTTTTTAAAATCAAAGCTACATATCTAGCCTTTGTTGTAAGTCTAGTTCCTTAGAAAAGGAATCTAAATCTTGGCCATGTGCGTGCGCTTATCACTTTTTCGATACCTGATTGACCCATTCTATCAGGATCATGTCAAGAGATCACAAACATAATGACTGCAAGCCTATTTCATTGTTCAATACCAAATTGATTTTTTTTAATTCCATTTTTAAGATGTTTCATTATGTTGTTTAATTAATTATGGAATTAGACAATTCTCGTCGTAGTAGACAAATTCAATGCTTCAGACTTCTACATTTCATCTTGGATGTTGCGGTATCGGACCATGTAAATTTATCAGCATTTGTAGTATAAAATATTGGGTGGTTTATTGGTTTCCTGTATGTTTAAATATGGTTTTTATAATAAATTTGTTAGCGTAATGACCGAAAATATAACAATATGATTTTTGCTAGTAAACTTTAGAATTTTGTTTTTATGCTGTAATAAGCTAAAACGCAGACAGAACTTTATCGACCTATGAATCTCCTACTTAAAGTAAGCGTTGATGATATTATCGACAATGACGACGAAAGCTTTGTAATTAAACCATCTAACTTAGAAAACTTGATGTTATCAAAAATATTTAACTCTATGTTATGCGACTACATTAAACAAAAACAGTATAAAGATCTTATGAATTGTTCGGGGGAGAAAACAATGTAAGTGTTTATGAAGTCTACCAAATATCAATCAGCTACAATCCATAGTGTAAGTTTTGATATCTTTTCAGGTTTTTTTTTCACAAAAAAAACATTAAATTTACGGTTAAAAATGAGTTAAAAATAAGTCTGAAGAAATTTTGTCATGACAGATTATT